TGGGAGGCTGAGGCAGGAGACTCGCTTGAGCCCAGGAGTTGGAGGTTGCTGTGAGCTATGAGGCCATGGCACTCTACCCAGGGGGATAGCTTGAGGCTCCATCTAAAAAAAAAAGTTCTTCAAGTAAAATATTTTACCTAAAGTGGCTCAGCGCCTACCACTCCATGGTTAGGACACCAGCCACATACACCAAGGCAGGCAGGTTTGAACCCGGCCTGGGCCTGCTAAACAACAGTGATGACAACTACAACAAAAAATAGCTTGGTGTTGTGGCTGGCACCTATAGTCCCAGCTACTTGGGTGGCTGAGGCGAGAGACTGGCTTAAGCCCAAAGTTTGAGGTTGCTATGAGCTGTGATGCCATGGCCCTCTACCAAGGGCAACATAGTAAGGCTGTCTCAAAAAAGAAAAAAATATTTTTCCTAAAGTTATTTTATTTATGTATTTATGTCAAAAGTTTCTAGGCTTGTGCACATCTATACATCCAGAAGGTTACCAGGATCGTGAAATAATGTTGCTGATTTTAATGTTGTTTAAAATGAGTTTGGAAAAGCAGCTGAAACAGATTCCTCTAGTAGACTTTCAAAGCCTCCTGATAAACCTGATGAAAAACATCAGAGATTGGAACACAAAGGTAACATTACTTAAAATTTCAGTACTAGTTTTTTGCTCAACATCATAATTTGATTTTATAGTGTATGCAGACTTAATACTCTAATTCCAGTTAAGAACTCTGTTTGGTAGATTTAAAATGAACTGAAGAAAAAACTGTTTGATGGAGCTGTATTTAAACTGATAAGTCTTTTCTAAAACTACATCCATGTATTCAATTCAAATGTGTTTATTGGAGATTTCCTGTGGACTAAGCATTAATGTAGGGGCTAGAAATTCAGCTGTGAAAAAGACAAAGCCTTTGCTTTTGTGGGGTTTTGTCCTAATCAAAGAGTTAGGTAATAAGTGCATGTAGACTGTAATGCAAGATGGCCACAGAGTTTGAACCCTGTATGTCTGATTGTAATGAGTGCTACAAATTAAAGTAAAGTAGGGCATAGGTATAGAAAGCAGAAAGGCAAGAATGGTATGCTATTTGATGTGAGGTAATCAGGGAAGTCTTTCTGAAATAATCTTTGAGCAGAAATCTAAAATGATGAGGTGAGTCATACCTACAAGAAATTTGAGTTGAACTTCTATAACTATATAGAGGATGAACATGTATAATTTTTATTATATTTTGTTAGGTCTTTTAAAAAATTAAATTTTTTAACCTCTTTTGGTGGAAAATGTAAACTATACAAAAAGTAGGGTAAAGAGTATAATGAACCCCTAAGTGCCTGTCAACTAGCTTTAATGATTATCAAGATATAATCAATCTTGTCTAATCTCTTAAGCCCATCCCATATTTTCTTCCTCTACTCATTAGATATTTTGTTTATTTGTTTGTTTTTGAGGCAGAGTCTCACATTGTCACCCTTGGTAGAGTGCCATGGAGTCATAGCTCTCACAGCAACCTCCAACTCCTGGGCTCCAGCAATTCTCTTGCCTCAGCCTCCCGAGTAGCTGGGACTACAGGTGCTTACCACAATGCCCGGCTATTTTTTTGTTGCAGTTTGGCTGGGGCCGGGTTTGAACCTGCCACCCTCCGTACATGGGGCCAGTGCCCTACTCACTGAGCCACAGGCACTGCCCTACATAGCACAATTTTTTTTTGAGACAGAGCCTCAAGCTGTCCCCCTGGGTAGAGTGCAATGGCATCACAGCTCCCAGCAACCTCCAACTCCTGGGCTCAAGCCCCTCCCAAATAGCTGGGACCACAGGCACCCGCCACAACACCCGACTATTTAGTTGCGGGCCTGGGCTGGATTCAAACCTGTCAGCTCAGGTGTATGTGGCTGGTGCCTTAGCTGCTTGAGCCACAGGCACCGAGCCTATTTTGAAGCAACTTTAGGCTTTTTAAGAAATTGATACATAATACTTGTACATATTTGGAGGTGTTAGGCTTTTGAAAATACTGAAATAGGAAATGTAAAAAAATCTCAGATTGGCTCAGCGCCTATGGCTCAACCGGCTAAGGCGCCAGCCACGTACACCTAAGGTGGCGGGTTCGAATCCCCAGCCCGGACCCGCCAAACAACAATGACGGCTGCAACCAAAAAATGGACGGCCGTTGTGGCGGGTGCCTGTGGTCCCAGCTACTTGGGAGGCGGAGGCAGGAGACTCCCTTGAGCCCAGGAGTTGGAGGTTGCTGTGAGCTGTAATGCCACAGCACTCTACCCAGGGGGACAGCTTGAGGCTCCTGTCTCAAAAAAAAAAAAAATCTCAGATTGGGAACATGTATGATCTTGTACAACTCGCGTTATACATATGCATTTGGAACTTATTAATTTTTTTTGTAGAGACAGTCTCACTTTATCGCCCTGGTAAAGAGCCATGGTGTCACACAGGTCACAGCAACCTCCTACTCCTGGGCCTAGGCGATTCTCTTGCCTCAGCCTCCTAAGTAGCTGGGACTACAGGTGCCCGCCACAACACCCAGCTATTTTTTTGTTGCAGTTTGGCTGGGTCCAGATTTGAACCCACCACCCTTAGTGTATGGGGCCGGCGCCCTACCCACTGAGCCACAAGCACTGCCCACATTTGGAACTTATATTTCGTATGCATATTTCCTGGTACTTATATTTAGGTCAACTTATTGTTCCAAGAAGGACTATTTAAGTATAGATAAATGTGAAACTTAGATAAATATATCTGTTTATTCAATTTAAGATAAAACTGAATTCTGAGGTTGCGTGTGGTGGCTCACACCTGTAATCCTAGCACTCTGGGAGCCTGAGGTGGATTGATCACTTGAACTCAGTGGTTCAAGACCAGCTTGAGAGAGTGAGACCTCGTCTCTACTTAAAAAAAAAAATAGAAAAACTGGCCATGCGCCTATAGTCCCAGCTACTCAGGAAGTTGAGGTACAAGGATCACTCAAACCCAGGAGTTTGAGGTTGCTATGATCTATGACACCATGGCACTCTACCCAGGGTGACAGAGTGAAACTTTGTCCCCCCAAAACTAAATAAATAAAAAATAAATCTGAATGTGAGGCCAGGCTTGGTGGCTCACACCTATAAACCTAGCACTCTGGGAGGCTGAAACAGCAGGATCTCTTTAGCTTTGGAGTTCAAGACCATCAAGAATGAGACTCTGTCTCTACTAAAAAAAAAAAAACTAGCCAAGTGTTATGGCAGGGGCCTGTAGTCCCAGGAAGCTGAAACAGGAGGATGGCCTGAACTCAAGACTTTTAGGTTGCTGTGAACTAGGCTGAGGCCATGGCACTATTCCCTGGGCAACAGAATGAGACTCTGACTTCTGTGTATTATGTCCATTTTAGCAGATTCTAGACATCATGCTACACATATTTCTAAAAATGAGTGCTCTGTTTTGTAATAGTACATCGATTAGGGCAAGAAGGGATATAAGTGATCTATTGGATGTTTGATTCTCTTGACCTGTTTGAAAGACATCTTGCTTTTTTCTATTTTTCCAGGTGCCTGAACTCTGTCTGGGCATAAACGAACTCTCTAATCATCCCCACAACCTTTTGTGGTTAGTACAGCTGGTACCTAACTGGACATCTCGTGGAAGGTATTAAATTAAACATTAAGAAATTTTATAATGTAGGGGCTGGGTGAGGTGGCTCATGCCTATAATCCCAGCACTTTGGGAAGCTGAGGTGGGCAGATCACCTGAGCTCACAAGTTTGATACCTGCCTGCTAGAGCAAGACCCCATCTCTAAAAATAGCCAGGCGTGACCGACACCTATAGTCCCAGTTACTCAGGAAGCTGAAGCAAGAGAATTGCTTGAGCCCAAGTGTCTGAGGTTGCTGTGAGCTATGACTCTATAGCACTCTGCTGGGGGCAACAAAGCAGGACTCTGTCTCAACAAAAAAAAATTTAAAAAGAAAGAAATTTTATAATGTTAATATTAACGAAACATTTTGGATACTTTATTTTTATTCATCTGAATGAAAGGCATTGATAGCCTGCTTCTAGTTCTTAACTCAGATCATTACGTAATATTCCTGATTTTTAATTTATCTGATAACTTAATACAAATGACATTCTGGCTTGACACCTGTAGCTCAAGTGGCTAAGACACCAGCCATATACACCTGAGCTGGCGGGGTTCAAATCCAGCCCAGGCCTGCCAAACAGCAATGACAACTATAACCAAAAAAATAGCCAGGCATTGTGGAGGGTACCTGTAGTCCCAGCTACTTGGGAGGCTGAGGCAAGAGAATCACTTAAGCCCAGGAGCTGGAGGTTGCTATGAGCTGTGATGCCATGGTACTCTACTCAGGGTGAAAACTTGAAGCTCTGTCTTAAAAAAAAAAAAAATACAAATGACATTCTATAAAAATGAATGAATTAGCTATATATATATATATATATATTTTTTTTTTTTTTTTTTTTGCTTTAGTAAAAAGAAATTTTAGCAAAAGATAGGTTTTCTTTCAGTAAATCAAAGATAAAGAGTCAAAGATAAAGGTTCTTTATTTTATTTATTTATTTTTTTTGTAGAGGCAGAGTCTCACTTTCTCTCCCTGGGTAGAGTGCCTGTGGCATCACACAGCTCACAGCAACCTCCAACTCCTGGGCTTAGGTGATTCTCTTGCCTCAGCCTTCTGAGTAGCTGGGACTGTCACAGGCGCCCACCACAACGCCCTGCTGTTAATTTTTGTTGCAGTTTGGCCAGGGCCAGGCTTGAACCCACCACCCTTGGTAAATCAGGCTGGCGCCCTGCGCCCTACCCACTAAGCCACAGGAGCCACCCAAAGATAAAGGTTCTTAATCATCCCTACAACCTTTTGTAGTTGGTATAAGGGGTCCCTAACTGGACATCACCTGGGCTTAAGCAACTCTCTTGCCTTACTGAACTTTAGGTAATTCTGTCTAACTTTGGTTAGTAAATATGAAATGTCCAGTTTCTTTAAGTACTAAGTTTTATAGTTGGTATCTCTGACATTTCACACTGACATTTTTTGTTTTATTTTTATTGTGACTCCATGGCACTCTACCAAGAGCAACAAATTGAGGCTCTGTCTCAAAAAAAAAAAAAAGATCATGCCAAATCTTATACATAATAGAAAAAGAAGAAATACTTCAAAATCATTCTACTGGGCGTGATCTTTTTTTTAATAATTGCAAGGGTTTGTCACAATGGTTGGTTAAAGATGAGGTGTTGACAGTCCAAAACTAAATATTCGTCAAAAAAAGCTAATGGTGTCTGTTTGGTCTAGTGCTGATATTATCCACTATGGCTTTATGAAACCTGGTCAGTTAATTACAGCAAATGTCTACTGCAGCCAGTTGGATGAAATGATGAGAATGCTTGTGATGAAGCAGCCAAGACTGGTCAATAGAGATAGGCCAATCCTCTTGCAAGACAGTGCTTGACCACATGTCCCATAAACAACACTGCTCAAACTACAGAAGCTGGGCTTGGAAACTCTCTGTTGATTACCATATTCATCTTGCACCAACTAACTGCCACTTCTTTTGGACTTTGTTTTTTTTGTTTTTTTTTTTGAGACAAAGCCTCAAGCTGTCCCCCTGGGTAGAGTGCCGTGACATAGCTCACAGCAACCTCCAACTCCTGGGCTCAAGCGAGTCTCCTGCCTCAGCCTCCCAAGTAGCTGGGACTACAGGT